TGTTCTGTGGACTTTCGTTGATGTTATAAGGACCATTTTGTGAGTGAGTTGGTTGTCGGTGTGCAGAAAAATGTTCTGAAATCATCAGTCGGGGTTTTTTTATCCCGAATTTGTAAATTGTATTTGTTTCGGACCCTAAACAGTTTAATTGCAACCGTTTTAACACGAAGGCTGAATAGAAATTTTTGGCAAAAAAGTGTTAAGTTTCTTGTGTTCCGTTAGTTAAATCCGTTGTTCGTATTATTTGAGTTTTGTGGATGAATTTGAGGAAAATATAAATAGTGCCTTTATTATTTTAGTAAAAGTGCCGAAGGCAGAAGTTTAAAAAATTGCTTCCAAGTGTAATGAGAAATTGGACTTTCGTGTTTTGCATTGTTGGAGTAAAAAAACTGGATGTTGGAAGTTCTGCCTTTTTGAAAATGTTTCCATTTAGTTTATTTACGAATTAAGAGCCAAATTGCGAAAGAAAATTGTGAATTTCAAAAGGCTTAATGTAGACACGAATTAAAAACAAGGATCAAAAAGAGGAACAGCTATGAAGAAGAAGATTAATATTTTCAATACTGATTTAATCTTTTTTTGAACTGAAAAGTTCCATTCTTTGAGTTAAAACGTTTTGATTAGAAAATAAGACAAACAATTCGAATGCAGAAGCAACGACTAAAACTGTTCCAAGCACTAAGAAAAAAAATGTTTTTTTTTAACTTTGCGTTATTTTGCACTAAAAACTTTCTAACCCAAAACCAGATTTCACAATATTGCACACGTTGCGATCTTACAAAATCCTCTTTTATACATATAAAATATAGTCAAAAAACACTTGCGGAAATCACAAAAAAGTCGAAAAATTTATGGAGTTCAAGCAGCATTTCTGGTGAAATATTTACAATTTCATTTTAAAATCAAGCTGGAAAAACGAAAACTTGAGTCTAAAATTCTGTCACTGTATGAAGTCTGATGAGAGCTAATAGGGCTCGAAACCGGTCCGTGAGGTGCCTGAGATTAGTGTTTACCTGCTTACATCAAATGCAATTTACTGATGATGGGAAAGTCCAACAGCAACATTCTCAATAAAGGTTGCAAATTTAAGTCAACTATTTGATATAATAGATTTTTTTAACGATTGTTTAAGGTGGCTTAAGGGTAAACGCGAGTTTGGCCTGCATTAAAGACAGTTTTTGTTGTGATATTTCATGTTCTTATGGCAGGTTTTTCACATAAATTGTTCACGATCGAGATGACCATTTTTAAGGCTTATTATGTTTTTGGCTGATTTTGACGAAAATGCGCAGACAATTCTCTTCACAGCAGTGAACCTTTGATGAAATGGAAAAATGGTGTAGGGCGTTTTTTTGCACGAGAAATCGTGGGCGGCAGTAAACATCGACTAATTAATGAACACATTAAGATTTAAAAATTAGCGAAGAAGATTGTTTTGGTTAATTCAAACTTGTCCATAGATTGATGTTTTTCAAGAGTGCACTTTGGCTAGTTTGGGGTGTTTTCGGTGGTTCTGTGAGAGGTCTGATTGATTTTTAAGAGCCGTTTCCATTTTGTATGTTTAGCTTTTTCAATTGATAATTGCTTTTAACATTGCTGTTCGTTACTGAACAGAAGCTTGATGATTTTAGAAGCGACGGCTGCGAATTCTTCAAACACCCAGGAAGGTTTTGCTTTATTACGTCCAGAAAACTCCAAAATATTTGCATTTTTCCATATCCTCGCTTCTACAGATGAAACATAGCGAGAAGAAAAGTTCGAAAATCTTCAAAGGTGGAGTTCTAGCTTTTGAAAAGGCAACTAATTAAGAGTGGTACCAACAAAGCGCATTTAGCAAGATCTGTTGCTGCGAAACTGAGCATTTTTTTAAGCTGCGACGCCCCTTTTGTCAAGCAAGTGATTCCGAATTTTTAGGCTTAAACTGACGGTGAAGAATAACATTTTATTATCCTCCAGAAGAGAAGCTGAAGATTCTAAAAGCGCGTTAAGACCTGGAAAAACGACCGAGCCTTTCTTCCAGGGAATTCTGAAATCTGATTTCTAGTGAAACCCTCTTTCGCCTGAAAATGTACAACAACCGGTTCGTTTGCATCTGAGGGTGGCTTCGTTTAGAAGAGCCCAAATTCACTGTAGTAAAACTTTGGCGACCATCGCAGGAAATCATCAAATTCCGGACTCCCCCAAGGACTTACCTTGGAAAAATTGGACACTCTTCTTTTGAAGATATCGAAGCACTGGTCACTGTCAGTCCACTACCGAAGAGCACAACATCCGACACTGTTGTCGCACAAGCAAGTTGCAATTGAGTGTCGACGTGAAAAAAATCAACGTCCAGATTAGGCCGAGCTGTTTTCGAATCTCACTGCTACCCTTGTTGATGGGCCTCACCTGACTGAGTTCTTGAGCAAGAAAATCCAGGTAGGTATCAAGTTCTGTTGATCCCCCCTTATCGGCGACTCTTCGCAGGTAAAACACGTGCGAATCAACAACGCCTTTGTCGCGTTCCCATTGGCTGATGATCGATACTGGGCAGTGTTGGAGCGATCAGATTAGCTGCGATTGGTCGATCCAGTCAGGCAGTCCGTAATTTTCTCTGGGACTTTAATTGATTTGGTAATAATTTTTTTTCGTCTAAGGTGTCAACTACTCGGGGATATTGGGTAAAGTGTCGCCCGACACTCAGTGTTTAATTAATTGTTTTATGTTAATGATGAAATTGTTCGGTGGCCGAGCATTGTTCAGTTAACTTTTGTTTTGTTTTACTTCGCATCGACGGGTTAATAAAAAGCTCGGTTTCTGTTTTTCAGATGCGAAGCTCATGATTGATATGTCGGGTTTGGGCTTGGTTTTTCTCAGTTCTTTGGAGTTTTTCACGTGTTTACTGGATTTGAGTCTAGGCGTTATTTCGTTTTATTCAGGGCATTTTTGCGCCCTGAAATGATTGGAAAGTGCGCATTTTGCAATGAAAAAAACCTGATTTGATTCTCTTAAAAAGCGCGAACAAACAAAATATTTCCCCTGAAGTCTTGACTGTTTCTTGTGAATCTTTCATGTCTCTACTTTTCCCTGGTTAACAGTTACACATTTTCTAACGACCGCGTGTTTTTGGTTGGAAATGTCCATTTAGAGATTCGAACTTACACCACAGGAAAAATCAGGATTTAGTGAAATTTCCGAGAAAATTTCAGACTGCTCCGATTCAACAGTCTACCAACAGTCTGCTTCGAAAAGGTTTTTTTGGGAAACGCGTTTAAACAGCAAGAAAACCTGCAATTCAGGTGGGATTTTAATCAAAATTTCTCATTTCACAGATTTATGTGTCTGCTATATTTTCAGAAACTTTCAAGTTCGTACTTGCAACATTATTTTTTATAGTTGAGTTTAATCAACAAGAAAAAATTGGATTCAGTGCTAATTCAGAACGTTTTTATATCTTTTAGAGTCTTTTAAGCCCTTTAAATTCTACAGACTCAAAGTTTTCTCATGTTAATAGATAATGATGTTTTTAAGGCTTGTGCTTAAATGAGGGCAATTTCTCGCGACTTTCCATGTTTTCTGCCATTTGTTCTCTCTGCATGTAAAATTGTTCCTGTACATAATCGTCCAAAAACTCTTTTAACTTTTCCTCGACTTTGACTCGAGATTTTCCAATTATCTGCCTGGCGAATATCTGGATCTCGTGCTTGATCTCTCTTAATCTTGAACTATTTCCGTTGTTCTTCGTCTTTAATGCATGTTTTGTGCGTAAAATTTAAGTAAACGTTTTATAAATGCACGTTTCACTTAAAAATTTAAGTATTTATGATCATTTGCTGACAACTTCAAAGTTTTCATTAATTAGCTGATTTCTCGATTATTTTAAATATTAATCAGAATATTAACTGTCTGAAAAACAACTTTAATGCAGGCAAAACTCGGGGTTAAACCTTCAAAAATCGTGACCTCAAGGCCTTCCATCGCATATTCCCTAATAGTGTTAAATTCATTATCTAATAAATGACTTAACTTTGCGACCTTTAATGAGACTGTTGCAACTGAATAAAGAATGAGACTTTTGCCATCATCAGAGTCGGCAATTGTATCTGATATAAGATGTGAGCAGGTAAAAATACTGATCTCAGCCACCTAACGGCATGGTTCCGAGCCCTATTGGCTCTAATCACAGCGTTTTAGAGACTGAAATTGTAACTTTTTCAGCAGAGATTTTCAATTGAAAACTGCAAGTATTTCACTAAAAATACTGCATGACCCTCATCAATTTCTTCGACTGCTTTGTGAGCTCCGCAAGGGTTTTTGATTTAATTTTGAACGCATAAATCGGTTTATGTAAAGTCGCAACGTATTGGGAAAAGCTGGTTTTGGGATTCAAAGTATTTTTGGACAAAATAACGCAAAATTGGAAAAATCATTTTTCTTGGCGCTTGGGGAATTTTCAGTCGTCGCTCCTAATTCTGTTTAAAAAAGACGCAAGAAGGCAATAGAAAATGAAAAAGTTACAGAATGTTGCCGCTCCACCCATCCGCGTTTCACTTTAAATCAGGAAAAATGTTTAAAATGTGCGAGCTGCAAAAAGACCATCAGACGTTCCTTTCATAGAATCATTAAAAACTCTTAATTTATTGAGACTTTAACAATAATTTTTTCTACCCCAAAAATGCAAAACGGGGAGTTTTTGAGTTTGTGCACGTCGAATGAATTCTTCAAAGCTTCTATTTACCAAAATGAGTAAAATTACCAAAATAAGTAAAATAAACTTTCAACTAGTGCCAAAACGATTTCTTCCATTCCCGCCTACACTGAGCTGCTTAAAATTTACTAATTTTCTTGGCTGTGGAAAACTGAAAGAAAAGTTGCGACGATACTTTTGCAAACTCGCAAAGAAGCGCATTTGCCCTGTCGGATAAAGAGGAAGCGAAACATAAACAAAACCATTCGCTTTTGTGGTTTTCCTAGTTAATTGCCTAGCTGTTCGCAGTTTCATTTCTAATTTGCATTCATTTATTTTAAAGTTTCTGCGGAAAAGCTTTGGAACAATCCGTTTTCAAAAAGATTTGCTCTGAACCTACTTTGGTGCAACTGTTAGAATGCGTTTCCAATTAAACTACGCCGTATATTTGCGTGATTTTCATTGGAAGATAAACAGTAAACCTGCTCTCATGGAAAATTGAGCCTGAAAGCCCAATGAGTGTTAGATGATTAAGAAAAAGGTTGCTGGTTCGCCATGGAAACAAATTGGAATAAAAATCCCATTTTTCTTCTCAACGTGACATTGGATTTGACTACCAAAAATCGTTAGTAATGGTTCAATCAATCATCATCATCGGTCCATACATTTGGCTCGATAACAGTAAAAACGCCACACAATTCTTGATAATTATGTTAATCAGGGGCCGAATGGTTAACGTTCGCTAAGCAGCAGAGCTAATAGAGGTTGCTAAAAAAGCTCGAGAAAACTGACCGGAAAAGCTTTCGTTCGGTTCAGGTCAGTTTTGCTTGCGGCTTTCGTGATAATGTGCCACTAATGTTGTTTGCTAATTGGCCGGTTAATTGGAGCCGATTAAGCAATAAATTCCGGCCCCATTTCGCTTTCGCAGCCCCATTATCATCTTCATTTTGGCGACTGGGAGCCCAAGCATTTTGGGCGTCTTAATAGCGGTAATTTGGCGCGGTCTTGATTTGCCTACTCAAAAATTAGCAAATTAACTGACACTCGACTAATTATTAGTCGGTCGATAAGTGCTGGTTAAGCATACGCACCTTACGGCTCGCACCTTTAGTCGAATCCAAGGTGTACATTATTGACGCCTTGATGTAAAACGATGCACTTAATGCACTTATCAGCAACAGGCAAAACATGATTTGTAAATTTTGAACCTCATCAACGTATGAAGGGAAAAAATTACTGCTGAAGCCCCACTATTGAGAGTCTGGAACGGATTCTTACAACCTTTTGAGGGATTGAGGCATTGATTGAAAATCAGGGATTATTTGGGAAAGTTGAGGTTTTGCCCAAAAATCTCATTAGCAAATGTGCTTCAGGAGGCGGACAAAAACAGTTTTTTAATCAGAATTGAGCTTCTGATTGAGAACGATGAGATCCTCCTATTGAAAGTCCAGCTAAGCGTTGTTTTATTCGATTTATTCAGGAAAGTGTGAGCCAGTGAGTTCCTTGCAGGGAAAAGTTTTTTGTTTTGAAAAAAATTGGTGAATGAATAATCCTCACAAATGCACTTTTTGCGGGGACATTTCCAGTCGTTGCTCTATGAGACCAAACTTTCTACTATTAACCATGTGAACTGAACAGAAGAACGCTTCCGTTGACTTTCAACTGAAAAAAATCGCTTGTTGTTGCCGCCAGATCAAATTGACTGAAAATTACCTATTGAGCAACACATTTAGACCCCAAAATAATCAAAAAGTCGCCGGATAATCGCACATAAATAAAATGATGAAGAATTAAGCAATTTGTTAGCGGGATCATTAAATCTACATTTGGGCGCACGGCGGGATTTAAGGGCATCAGGCCCTTTCTTCATGGAAAGGGATGTTATTAAAAGATAGAGTAGCCAGATAAGTTCGAAATCCCTGTTACTTTCACCTTGGCCTCTTTTAATGACCCAATACGTGCCCTTATGTTTTTAGTACGGGGTCTTAAGCCCGGACGAAAAATTCCTCATTTTCATCCAACAATCCTCATATAAAATTTTACTTTGATGAGAATTTTGCGTGCAGTTGAACCCAAATTGTACCCAAATTGGTCTCGGCACATCAATGACATTAAAATCTGACCAATCTGAAGGTTTGGAGTATTTTCGTGTCCAAATCAGTGTATGGCACAACACTCAAATCAATCAAATTAAACACTTTCTAATGCGATTGTTGTGGCGAGCTCTACGGGCACAACACTGTTTTTTCCGCAAAACAGTTTGCGCACCACTTTTGCACAAGATTGCAGATTATCTGCATTCACCTTCCAGTTAACCAGCAGGATTATTGCATCTGCAAATTTTCTAGTCAACCCTACCGTCCGCATATTGAGCGATTTTTTGACTAAACGCCCGGACTCTACCACCACACTAAGCCAGTATAAAAATTCCACAAAGCAGATGGTGAAACACGCGTCTATTCAGTCATAATTAAAAAAGAATCGTTTGTTTGGGTTGGTTGTTGCATAGGGTGCGTGCTGAAGATCTCAGCCTGATGTTATTTATATATTGGGTCAAGTTTGATTCATTCAGCCCGTCGTCGACCCTAAAAGACATACGGCCGACGAAACAATTGCCTCACATCGAAAAGCCTTTTTCGTTGAAGAAGTTGGGAGTTTTGGGTGGTAAAAAAGCGGCAATTTTCAAGCGGATTCCATTGGAATATCGAAAACAATGATTGATTTGGAAAAAATTACGATTCCGTTATGGTTG